CACCCACAGTGTGGTGACGCTGCGGACTGTTGTTGGCACGATCTCCAAAGTCCACACCAAGTGTTTGTGTTCTGGGGGGCCAAGTAGCTGGGATACCAACACTGGTGCGTGCCAGGAGCTGCACAAAGAGGCTTCCGCTCGTCCTGCAGCCCTGACTTTGCAGGGAGCTCGGCCCCCCACAGTGCAGCATCCTCTGCCTCTTCTGCTCTCTTCAGGCCTGGACTACCTCAGTAGCTGCTGGGGGAAGGGGAGGGGGGCTCTGCCAGCCTCCAGTCCATCCTCCAATCAGCCACCGAAGGGCGTGCTCGGCCTGGCCTTAGAACCTACCCCCCACCCCCGCCAGTCTTCTTACACCTTCCTCCCTGGCACGTCACACCCTTTAGTGCAGTGACAGTGGCCTGCTTCTCGAAAATAGTCAAAACCAGCCAAATTCAAAAACTGACTGTTTCTCAAACAAGACCCTCCATCTCGGGCTCTCCCGTAGGCCTGGAACACTCTCCCTCCTCGTCTCTGACCCCTGACGCCCCCAACTAAAATCCTGCCTCCCACAGGAAGCCCTCCCCAGCCGCTCTTCACTCCAATGCCTGCCCTCTGTTCATTATTTCTATTTATCCTGGATAGAACTTGCTTGGTACATGTCTCCCCCATTAGATTGTAAGCTCCTTGAGGGCAGGCACTTTTGCCAGCATTTAGCCCAGCACCCAGCATATAGTAGGCACTTAATAAATGCTTATTAACTGACTGGCTGATGACACTCTGCTCACACAGTCAGACTCAGGGCTCTCCAAGCCTGGCTGGGTCTTCCGGAGCAGACACACAGCTGGCATGATGCAGAGTGACCCGCAGGCCATGTTGAGGCATCAGGGACCACGTGAAATGGAAGGCATAAGCCTCCTCATCCGGAATACAGCCACAAGAAAAGGAGGTGGGCTGGTCATGGGTGGGAGGGCGGGTAACAGCAGACAGACCACGGGATGCACCGGGTTACTCCCACGGCCAGAGAAGGAAGGAGAAAGTCAGCGATGCAGGACGTCGAGAATGGAACAGGGAACAGGACCAGAAGGCAGGGATGGACTGCCGTCTGCACCAGACGTGGAGGAGATCAGGGACTCAACCAAGCTGAAACGGGCTTACGCCTCTCTCCTGAAGGACTTCCTCAAAGCCCCACAGGCAGGTTTGCGGTACGTGGTGACTGAGCCAAAGGGCTACCAGGAGACAAGGATGTTTATGGAGGGCATGAAGGACCAGTGGCAGGGCACCACGAAGATTTGTGGATGCTTCTGTTTCAATGTTAGACATTTCTGGATATTCCAGTCCCCACACTAAGTCCTCTCTTGTCACAAAGAAAACCAGGCTTGCATACAGTGACTTCACCTGACACTGTGCACCGTCCCTCCCCCTGTCTTTGTCCTCAGTGCTTATCTGCCCCCTCCCCCCACCCAGCCTAGAACATAGGAAGTGGACAGCAAAGGCTAGCTGAATGACTGACCAGTCCCCTGACTTTTGGTGAAATGTGTTTCATTTTCCATTCTCCGGGATCAAAATTGGTTATGACCCTTACTAGCTACATGACCATGGGCACATCATGTAACCTCTGTGAAAATGGGGTAAATGAGGGTGGAGGAGGGGTTATAAAGTCCTAGCTCCAGGCATTGGGTGGATTCTAATAAATGAAAATGAGATGCAGACAGCCTCACCCTTGGGGACAATGAACCCATTTCACAAGCCCGTATGGGGAGGAATGTTATCCACAGCTGCTCCAACACAAACCCTGGTGTGTTAAGGGACCACAAGGTCCATACAAGTGAGCATCATGATTAAGGCAGCCCCCAAAGTGGACGCAGGGCAGGCAGTGATGGGGAGGCCTTCAGGCCTAGCCTCAGCCTTGACCGGACCAAATCCAGAAGATAGTGCTCACTTTAGGGCACACATGGATGACTGGAGACCACGTGGAAGAGGGCAGGGAAAGGCCTAGACCCCACCTAGGAGGCACAATTAAAGGAAGGGGTGACAATCAGCGTGGAGAAGCCTGAGGGGGTCTGCAGACCTTGGGAAGGAGGGAGCCTGGGGAGGGGGAGGGGGGCTGGCAAAAAGGCAATGCTAAATTGAGTGCTGGAACACTTGCCTAGCACTTCCAGCTGCCCCAGGTGGAAGGGACTGCCTCAGGAGAGGGTGGGCGCCCTCCCACAGAGGTCTTTGAGCAGATGACCTCTCTGGTGACATTATAAAGGGTTCTGGCTCGAGATTTTATGAAATGAGATCAAGTACGTTTTGCAAATTTGAAGCTACTGAACTTTCAATCTGCACTAAGATTTTTGGGAGACCCCATACATAAACATCAGCTGGTGCCATGCCTGTTCCCGAGGGAGAGAGTGGACAAAGGGCTGACCTCAGAGTCCTGCCTTTGACCCATACTGGCTGTGTGACTCCTGGCCCCTAGGCGGCGTGGAGCTGTGCTTTGTCCCAAGCAAGCGGAGAACCATTTCACCTCTATCTGCCTCAGTTTCTTCATCTGCAAAACGGCAGACGAGATAACCACTGAGGTCCCTTTCATCCCGCCTCAGACCCTTACCAAGTTGCTTAACACTTCTGGGCCTCAGTTCCCTTATCCATAAATTGTGGGGAGGTCCCTTCCTGCCCTACATCTGGGATCACACAAGAGACAGGCTGGGGGATTTCAGCAAAGCCTTTGACAGAGTTTCTCCTGCAGAGAGGAAGGGCTGAGCACAAATTCAGGCCTGTCTCTTTTGGGGGCCCACTGTCCTAAGCCCCAAGATTAGCTCTCAGCAAATGCTGCTCTTCACGGCTAACCTGTCCCAAACCACCTCTCATCCCTGGGTGTGGCCGGGCAGGAAGGAAACGGGTCCAAAGGCCGTCCTAGGAGGATGAGCACACGGCTGTCTTGGAGTGAAACGACGAGATCTTTCATCCTGAGATGATCAGCTGACGCAGGGTTGGTTCTGTGGTCACCCCCAAACCCCACAGGTACTTGATAAGCATCGGCCATGCGCAGGCACTGGGCTGGGCACGAGGGACAAGGCAGGCGGCCCCTGCCAGGGCAGCGAGCCCCATTCCAGATTCTACCCAGCTGGTTCGTCATGTTTATTGACCCACAAACAGGCTCCGACCGCCTGACGTCTGCACCTCCCTTATTACACACCTCCTATTGTGTCTTAGTTACTGCAGAGGGTCCCATCCCAACACATCCTGACTGTCAGCTCCATGAGATCAAGGCCTGGTCTAGAACAGAACAGGGCGATGGCCTAGGGGTCTGGGCGAGGGGCAATGTCCTGTGGCTTGGCCCACGGGTGCTCAGTCCCGGTGAAACAGAAATTTATCCAGGCAGACATATTTATGCTTCTCACTCTATAAAGATCTTTTGCTTTTTTTTAAACTTTTTCTAGAGTTCAAACAGAAGCTACTTAACCTAACTCGTATTTGTTTCCATTGTAATTAAAAGAATTCTGGGCATAGAATGTTAAAAATCAACCCATGAGCAACAGAACTTGAATTTGTGAGGTTGAAAGGTTTGAAAGAAATGAGAGAAAGCTGTACACCCTTTCATGTGTCGGATAAGCGCTAGCGCTCTAATGAGAAGCGTTCCTTCTTTAAAACAAGGCTTCAAGCACTTCTTTCTGGCCAATGGTAAAGGGAAAACCTTTGGGCAGAAACAACCCCCAACCCAACGCTTTGTTTTTAAAACCGCTGTGACATCTGATCTCTGCCTAGAGTAAAGATGGAGCCAGGACCAGGCCATCTAAGTCAGTTTTACCCTGGAGCCGACTTTGAGCTTGCCCAAGGTCTAAGAGCTTAAATGAATGATATCTGGAAAAATAAAAAGTTTGTCAAGTGGTTTTTTTTTTTCCCTAAACTCCTAATGCAACTTAAAAAACGTCTTCCCCAACATAAAGCCTGGAAAGACATGATCCTGGAAAAACGAATAATTCTAAAAATGCACCCACCCAGATGCAGCTCCATAGGCCATCAAAGCTAATTTCCTCTTCATCGACTGCACCTGCCAACTCTGCCAGGCCTCAGCCATGAACCTCAGTGGAGGACGCTGCCCTGTCCTCCTCATGTGGTCGCTGCCTCCATCACATTAGTCTCCCATATGAAGGTGGACGGTCCCTGTGTCTGCTGGGCTGGCCGCTCTTTTCCCTCTCAGACCGGGAACACATACAGAAAACCATTTGTCTGACCAACGCTCTCTGGCCAGCAAAGACTTCTCGGTCACCCCTCCTCTTTCTCCAGCAGCCCCAGCTCTTCTGAAGGCTCACAGCTCTCACACAACGGAGTCTGGTGTGACTCAAAGGCCTCCCCCGCTGGGAAGGTACCTAGATCCCCAACCTAGATTGTTGAGGGGGGGGAGTGGAAAAGCATCAAAGACCCCAAAACACCCGGTTGGGATGGAGCCCTCTGGCGATCTGGTGAAGGCCTGGGGTCGAGTTTTTAAATTCATGAGATAAAACAGAGGATTACAAAGGAGACCTAGCTATTAAAATAAGCATCAAAGTATTAAAATAACACACACATATTCATGGATCCCACTTTGGTCCATTTTCCTTAAATGTCCAACACAGTTGGACAGTTCTCATCACGCCTGTTTTCAGGAAAGCACAAGGCTACGAATTCCCTACAGAATTGAGTCAGACCAACAGGGGACTGTATTTTTAGGTTTACTGTCTATTAATATGTCATCAATATTTCTCACCAGAAAAATCGAACTGTCCTCTGACAGGACTTTTTGCGCAATGTTTGCAGAAAGTAAGTCCTAATCTCAGCACATCCAGACATTTTCTGGGGTAGGACGGCTGTGCCATCGTCTCTGCAGGCTGTTAGGGTGTGCAAAGTACCTTCTGACAACAGCCGTGTAAGGAATGTCCGATTTCACATTATATCTCCTTGAGAAGTGTAATTCTTTTTTTTTTTCACTCCAATAATTTTTGTTTTATCATAGAGCTACTAAAATAAGATTATTAAAGAAAAACTGCACACATCTGTAAATCTCAACTACAATAATACATATTTTTACCAATTCAAATATTTGAACATTTAAAAATCATCATTCAACACAAGCAGCGAAAATGATCACTCGTGTTTGGTCACAAAACCACCCACAGGCCCAGGCCATGGCCCATCCTGGCTCCCACCTGCTTATCAAAAGTCTCTTTTTCTTAAATGGGAATGAAAACAGCTCCAAGCATTCTTCTGCTCTAGTCAATAACAAACAAAATCCAGGTTGTCAGGTGCAAAATGTTTTACTTATGGTAGAATTTTTAATAATTTCTTTTCTGTTTTTCTTCTTTATCTAAAATAGTCTGTTTTAAGCTCAGCACAGCATCTTGAAAGCCAGGATTCAAGTCCAGCGTTTTCTTGAAATCTTCGAAAGCTTCGTCAAACTGCCCTGCAGCACAAGCCGACCAGAGAAAGCCAGGGAGCCTTTTAAATCTCTGTACAACCTGCTACTGTCCCCGAGGTCCGCAGCCCTCCCCTTCCTATCACCCCAGGGGTCCTTAGGGATTTCTGTCTAGAAACAGGGTTCTCTGGCAACAAGTGTCCGCAGGGGCTGGGGAACACTCCTCCCCTCCTCTCCCCTCCCCTCCTGGGACGCTGGTCATGCCCAGGACCTTCTCCCAGCTCCTCTCCGGGCACACTGCCCTCTGCCCTGCCTCCGCCCTCAGCTCTACCACCGCCCTCTTTACAGGGTCCCAAAAGACAGCGCATGGTCAGCACGTGCAGTGAACGAGCGGCGTCCTCACCCATCCTGTAGAAGATCAGGCCTCGGTTGTAATAGGGGACCTCAAAGTGGGGCAGGGTCTGGATGGCGGCGCTGTAATCGTCCACGGCTTCGTGAAAGTCCACCCGAAGATACTTGATCTGACCCCGGTTGTTGTAGGCGGTGGCCAGATCTTCTGGGGAGCCGGGACTTAAAAGCAAAATGGAACACTGAGCTTGGCAATGCCGTCTCTCCACTGCTCATCCCTCGTCCACACCTCTTCTGGTATAAATTAGCAGACTGGACAGCGCGGACCGTCCGTGCCACGAGGAAAGCTCGAGCGGAAAGACGGACGTCGGGACTGCCGCGGCTGCCTCTGCACACACCACGAACGGGGGCCAGAGGGCACGGACGTGGGCAGGAGCAGATACCCCGGCCACAATCCTGACGGACGCAGGGGCCAGGTTAACTCCAAGAGAAAAAGGCCCAAACTAGCCTGTTTAAAAGGTGACCTTCCCAATAACTCCAGCCATCCATCCTGACTAGAAGGGGAAGTCAAGGTTTCAGGAAAGAAAAGCCTGCCCCCTCAGCCCTGCCTCTGGGAGCAGCCCAGCTCGGGTGACCCCTCCAGGACGCCCCCTCCCCCCCCTCCAGGCGGGCCACCCTGACTTACCTTCTCACAAACCCTGGCTTCCCCATAGCACGGAAGCTGCTGGAGGAGGACCTGTGTGCACGTGTCTGTATCCCTGATACACATTGATCCCTGCATCCCTGCACATGCTCGACCTTAATAAGGCCTTGCTGAATTGAATTAAAATACGCAGGCCGGTCAACCCTGGATTCATCAGAGAATTTCTTTTTTTTGGGGGGGGGGGGGGAATTGGTGTTAAGTGACCTGCCCAGGGTCACACAGCTAGTACGTGTCAAGTGTTTGGTCAGAGGCCGGATCTGAACTCGGGTCCTCCTGACTCCAGGCTGGTGCTCTATCTACCGCACCACCTCACTGCCCCCCATTAGAGAATTTCTGAGCAATCCCGGGTCACCCTTTGTGTTGTTCACTCAAGTCCGGCTGTCCCTGACCCAACTGGGGTTTTCTTGGCAGAGACACTGGGGTGGTCTGCCATTCCCTTCTGCAGTTCATTTTACAGATGAGGAAACTGAGGCAAGCAGGGTCTCTCTGTCTCTCTGTCTCTCCCCCCCCAGCTAGGAAGGGCCGGAGGCCAGATTGGAACTCCGGAAGATGAGTCTTCCTGACTGCAGGCCCTGTGCTCCATCGGCTGTAGCAGCACCTAGCTGCCCCGGGGTATGCTTTACATGGTATTTAATTATATATGTACATAATAATCACATGATATATTTCATGATATAAATTAGATTCCTGTATTACCTAATTAAATAAATATTACAACGTTTAGATGTTTTCATTCTGGAAAGTAGGAGTGGCTTGCCCAAACTCACAGAGCTAGAACATTTCTCAGGCAGGGTTTGAACTCGGGTCTTGCTGACTGCAGGCCCGGGAATTTGCACAGTGGCACCTCCAACCTTTCCCCTCCCCCTCCCGCCCCAATGTACCCATGGCTTTAAACGAAGCTTCCCATACAGAATGACGAATGTCACGGGGTCAGAGAAACCTGCAAAGAACTGCATGAAAAGATGCTGAAAGGCGACGGAAGGCCCTGGTGCCTGGGGGGAGGGGTCTGGGACGCTGAGAGGCGGGAGGGAGGAGGGGCAGGTAACAGGGAGGCAGGAGGAAGAAGCCCCCCTCCCCTGTGGCTGGGGGAGGGGCGGACGGCCTCAGAGGCCAGACCTCACTCAGCGCCCCGGCCCCGCCTTCACCGCCTCTGGGCTAGAAAGGGGGGGGCCCTTTGGGGGAGGCCAGGAGCACGTGGACGGGTCCCCGCAATCTTCTTATTTTGGCAGACGACCCCCCCAAAGTTGGGGCCCCTGAACCCCAGGAAAGACCCGCAGCCCCTCAGACAACCCCGGGGGTCGGGGTGGGGGTCTGACTGTCCCCATTCTACAGGCGAGGAAACTGAGGCAGGCAGGCGGCAGGAGGCCAGAGGTAAGCCCGGGGCCCTCTGGCTCCAGAGCCTCAGTTTCCCCCCCCCCCCCCTCCCGCCTTCTCCCCGCCTCAGTTTCCCCGTAAACCGAGGGGTTGGCTGGCGGTTCCAGGCCCAGGACCCGACCTTAATCCCCCGCGGGCACGTGCCTCTTGCCTCAGTTTCCCTACGTGTCAAACGGAAGCAGCTCGCTGACCTCATACCGAGACCAAGCCTGCCTCAGTTTCCCCCCCCGTACGGGGCAGCCCTTCCGAGGCAGGGAAACCGAGGCCCAGGGACGCCAAGCGCGCCGCCAGGGTCTCACTGGGGGTGAAGGGGATGGTCGGCCGGGCCTCAGTTTCCCCACCCCTCCCGCGAACCCGCGATGACGACACCACGACGCTGACACCGCCCCTCCCCCCCAGCGCGCCCAGCTCTCGCGAGACTCACGGGGCAGCACGTGCTCCCCCGTCTGCGCAGACGCACTGGCGAATGTAGGCCGAATAGAGCGCCTCGGCTTCGTCGTGTTCGCCCTTCCGGAAGTGCGCGTGGGCCTCGGCCAGGGGCCCGTCGCCGCCGCGGGGCGGCCGTCCGTCCATGGCGGCCAAGCTTTTCCTCCCCTGGGGGCGGGGCCGGGGGCGGGGCCAGGGCTGGGGAGCGTCCGGTGGGAGGAGCTGCGTGCTTCTCGCGATATTTGGCGGGCCATCTTCCCGGCCACCGTAGGCATCCCTGCGCGTGGGCCTCTGGGTATGGAGGCCGTCGTGGAAGGCGGGCCCTAGCGCTGCCTCGGCTCTCGATTGGTCATTTGTCCCTAAGTCTCGTCCGACCGTTTTGAGCTAAGGGATAGGCGGCCTCCCGATGGGGGCGCGTCCAATCGGCGCCTGGCTCTGCCGGGGTCGTGGCGAAGAGGCCTAGGCCTCTGGTTAGCGGGGATGGGAGGGTCACGTGAGGGGAGACAAAGCCCAGTGTGAGTGACAGAGGCCCACGTGCCACGCCCGGCGAGGACCTTCCTCAGGGTCCCGCCCCTCCCCGCCCTCCCCGTGACCTCGCATTCGGCGTTGGAGGGGAGGGGGGGCTGCGATTTCATCTGAGGGAAGACTGGAGCGTGTGGCCGAGCGGCCGGCAGGGGGCGACGTCCCGCCCGCGGAGGCCCGTTCCCCTCCCCCGCCCTCTCTGTGGGTGCCCTAGGATAGGGATGGTAGGGGCCATCGCGGAGGAGACTGGGGCCCCCACCCCCCCGGCGCCATTTCTGCGAGGCTCCCAGGAGCCCCCGGACAGGAGCAGGAGGAGCCTGCCATCCCCCGCCCGCCCGCAGGGGGCGCCCTCCCCGAGCCGCTCCGATGGGCGGGGACGGAGGAAAGCAGCCAGCCGTGGCCCCCGCGCACCCTCCGGCGGCCCCGCCACGGCCTCGCCCACAGCGCCCCATCTCCAGCCTCCATGCTTTTGCCTCGGCTGTGCCTTGTGCCTGGAGTGCCCTCCCTTTTCACCTCCACCTCGTAGTCTTTCGAGACTGGGCCCAAGGTGCCCCCCCACCCCCACCAAGGTTGCCTTCCTTATACTCTAATATTAAGCACTTCTGAATCTGGGCTTTCACACTTCCTGGATGGGACCATTAGCAAGTTCCTGAACTCAGTTTGCCCATCTCTGCAATGGGGAAATAGAGCATGGCGTGCCGATCTCACAAAGTTGTTCCAATTATCCAGCCAGTTAAAGCCTACAGTTTCATAAACCTTGTAAGAGGCGTACAGATGTCAGTTAATGCCATGAATAGTAGTATCAGTATCCCCAGCGATGCTAAAAGCAGCAGAGGGGCCTTCGGTGTGCTGATCAGTCCTTGCCTCCACTGTCTCCTAGGCAATCCGGGCCCCTCACGGCTGCTTGGAACGCGCTCCCTCCTGCTGCCTTCTGCCTTCCTTTAACACCCGGCCGAAACCCCCCTTCTGCTGAAGCCCTTTCCCCTCCTGTGCCCTCCCCCAGGTGCCCAGGGCCTTCCCCCTGAGAGTACTGCCCATTTATTCCGCGGTTATTGACACATCATTTCCCGTCAGAATGTGACCTCCTCGAGGGCAGGGGCCGGGTTTTTGCCTTTCTTTGTGTCCCCAAGTTTAGCAGTGACTAGCACATAATAAGTGACAGTCAACCCACCGTGTCACTGCCTTCTCAAGAAACTCGAGTGCTCCCCACTGCCCTTAGGACCACTACAAACTCTTCCATTTGGCCCCAGAAGCCTCTCACGACCTCCCTGGTTGTATCATACATTACTCCCCTTTGTGCACACGCACACGTGCACATGCATATGCACACGCGAGCACACACACACACGCACGCCTTGCTGTCCGCACCACGATCCACCTCGGTCTCGTGTCACACAGGCTGCCCCCCTTCCAGACCTGGAATGCTCTCTCCCTCCTCCCCTCTGGGAGGCCGTCTGCAGAGCTCCCTCAGCCCCAGCCCCAGCTCCCACGAGGCCTCACCATAAGATATAAGGCACCCTCACCCACCTCCACTCCCCGTACTGTTTGCATCTCCAGTGCCTGGCCCATACTAGAAGCTTATTGATTTGTGGAAGATCATACATGGCTCATGATAATGTGTTGAGATCTGGAGGAAATCACAGATTCCTGAAAGCACCCAAGTGCAGTTAAATATCTCCCTCCTCTCTGCCCAGCGCATGCTTCCCCTCCACCCCACCCCCACCCCCACCCAGCCCCGGAGGTCTGGAGCCATGAAAGATGAACCAGTCAACAAGTCAACTCGGCCATTCTTCCTGGAGGGAGCATCTCAATGTCCTCTCCCGTGGCCCCACTTGCTCTCCCTGGCATTTCTGGACTGGAGGGCCCCTCCCTGGCCACCAAGTCCCTGGGGTGTTTGGCCCAAAGGGAGCACTTAGTAAATGAATGCGTTTTCATTCAGTCAGTCAGACTATACAGGTGAGTGTTAACAAAGCCAAGCTTTCCTCTCCCCCAAACAAACACCTAGACTTTGTGGCCCTTCCTTTGGGGCACGAGGCCCTCCTCTCTCAGCCTCCCTTCTGATAAATGCAGGCGTCATCACATGGCAGTTCTTGGACGCCCTTCGATCTGTCAGAGGTGCAGAAGAGACCCGGACGCCCCGATGCCCCCATCTGCTCACAGCATGCCCCAGACAGGAAGCGTCGCACTCGCAGCTGAGCTGACCGTAATACAGAGCTGCACACACAGACAAGTCACTTGAGCGACAAGATAGAGTTTATTTGTTTTCTCCATAAAAGAGGAACCATCGAATAAAAATCCACGATCTCTGATCTTGGAACCTAACTAGGTAATCGCCATCCTCCCTCTGAGGCAGCCTCTGCTCACCCAGAGGACGCCTGGCCAACAGGAGGACAAGCCTGGAGAACACAGGAGAAGGCAGCCGGCCCATCTGAGGGCCACCTTTGCCTCGCTGAGCCTAGAGATCAGACAGAGACCCACACCCACACCAGGAAAACCAGCCTACCTCCTGCTGGTCCCAGAGCTGTGTGGACGCAGCTAGAGTGCATCTGTGCTCAGCGCCTGACTCTACCTAACCCAGACTGGGTGCATCTTCCCCTAGGCATATCCCAAAGCGAAACAGACAGCCCTGGGCCCAGGGAGGAGAATGTATTTCCTCTTGTGAGGCCCCTGGGCACCCCCCCCCCCCCCCCCCCCCGCACCAGCTGCTACCCCACTGAACTGTGGCACAGGGGGCAGAAGTTATAGTTGCTGATCTCCTGGGCCAGGACGCAGTGCTTGCACACATCACACATCCAGAACTGGTACTCCATGATGGGGCTTCCTGTGGCCACACACGTCGGGAGCTTCCCTTCTCCGCTGCAGGAAGGAGAGAGAAAAGTCAGTCCCCCGTTCTGAGACTGAACCGGCCCCGGCCTGGGACCACTGAACGTCACGAGAGAACTCCGGAGATGGACTCTGGAGGAAAGGCCCCGCTCACCCCTCCAGGAGACTGTCCAGCTCCGACTTGCGGTTGTCCTTCGGGGTGTGTTTGGTGAAGATCTCCAGAGCTAGGTCCTCGTACTGCTGCTTCTGCTCCGCGCTCAGGGTCTCCAAGGACTCCAGCTTGATGAAGGCTTTGGAGCAGGTCCCAAAGGCCCGGCTGGCACAGCCACACAGAGCCAGCAGGGAGTAGATCTCCACGGCAGGGATGATGTCCTCGTAGTCCCGCAGGTGGAGAGCTGGGAAGCCAAGGCAGGTCTTTACGTGGTGGGCCTTTACACGTGTGGCCCTGGGCCCTGTCATGGGGCCCGGGGAAAGGCCGTGGGGGAACAGAGGTTGGGGGGAGGGGTCATGCTACTCATTTAAAGGCACTTTGGTAGGGGCAGCCAGCCCTGGAGTCAGGAGGACCTGAGTTCAAATCTGACCTCAGACACTTGACACTTACTAGCTGTTTGACCCTGGGCAAGTCACTTAACCCCGAATGCCTCACCAAAAAGCAAAAAAAAAAAAAAAAAATACAGCAGGATGGAGTTGTACCAAGTCAGACATGTATACATGCCCACGCACACACAGGACAAACGTATGTTAGTGTTCTTTGTGCTCCTTAATCGTTCACTGCAGCAAAAGGAAACTTGGCATGTTTAACATGCAATTCTATATCACTGTGTTTGCTTGCAGTTGGAGGCCCCCTACGCATCTGCTAAAGTGCCAATAGACTCATCCCTGCTAGGGCAGCCACCAGGGAACCGATTCTTTGGCCAATGGTAGTGACCCTTTAGGAAGCAAAGAGAATTCAAAATGGCACCCAGCCCTGTCCCACCCCAATCTCCCTCTCCAAAGACAGGAATGGGCCAGGGGGAGGTGGGCTCCACACACTGACCACACTGCTGTCATTCCAGAGATGCAGCCCTTGTCCCCCAGCCACCAAATGGAGAAGGAAGGAAGGACATTCATAACTCTCAAGGAGACGTGGAACGTGAGGAAGGTGTGGCCAAGTAGGAGAGTTCATGGCATCTCCTCGGAGGGGCAAATCAAGGAGCAGTTTCATCGCCCACCCAAAGGCACCAAGAACAGTCATTTCACTGAACCCTCATTCACCTCACCACCTT